CTTCGCAGCGCTCTGCCTGCCCCCAGGCAGGCAGGGGGCTGCTGGCGGCTGCAGGGCCTGCGGCCTGCGCTGCTTGCGCGCCCGTGGCCCGGCAGCGCCCGGCCCCCGTCAGGGGCCCTGGGAGCTGGGCGAGTGTCCTGTGCGCCCCACTTTTCCACAGGCATCACCTCATGGGTGTATTTCACCCCGGGGACTGCAGAGCCGCTTGTCCCCGTGCCCAGGACGAGCTTTTCAGAGAGCTGAGGGCAGGGAAGGCCCGTCTTTTCCCCACACTGTCTCCTGCTTGTGTCTTGTAATTTCCACTCGTGCTTTCTTGGCCGTTCCAGATTCAGATTCAGGCTTATCGATACGGCGCCCACCTCTAGCACCTTGTGAGAATTTATGGCCCAGTAGTTTGGGGAGAAAGTGAGCCTCCCTGTGAAGTCGCAGAGGCCTCAGGCTGATTTTTCATTCAGCCTGAGTTTACCATGGGTGGTGGGGAAAGGGAGCAGGGAGTGAGAGCTGCCGCAAGGCTGCTGTAGCCAAGCAAATCATAGAGCATCCTTGTCTTTGGGCAGGCAGCCGGCACTTAATGGTTGCACATGTCTCAGATTCCTGTGTGTCTTTTCTTGGCTTTGAATAGTGCAGCTGATTCTGGTGAGTCAGACGTTTGGAGTGCGGATCCCAGCCGTGCCTCTGAATTCGCCCTTGAGCAAAGCTCTTCTCACTATGTATTTCGTTTCTCCTCTCTTTAAGAAACATTTATCATTAGGCTGAAAATAATAACAGACTTTAAGTTTATGATGTGCAAAAGCAGAAGATATTCTGGTCCTCCGTACTTCTCTGAGTAGCTGCTTAATTTCCTTGTCTAGACAAATGTCTAATCCCTTTTTAAATTCTACTAACCTGTTGGAGTCCATATTAAAGCAGGTTCCACAGTCTAATGTACAATAAAGAATATTATTTAATTGATTTTAATTAGTTAATTTCTAGTTTTCTACAGTTCATGTAATTGTTGTGCTAGGTCGATCTTTACTTACGTCTACTTGCCTTCTCAGTTCCCTGTGTTATTTTGTATACCTTATTCTCTTTTATCAGTTTGTTCTCTGAACTAGAAAGTCACTATATCTTAGCCTTTTTTCATAGGGAGGTTTCTTTAAGCTTTCTCTCATTCTCCTTTTCCACTATGGTTCTTAAAGAAATATGCAGAAGTTTGGCCACTAACAGACCACGCATTAGTGGGAGCTTGTATCCTGCCCCAGCCCACTGAGCAATAATCCTAAAATAACAATTAATTAAAACCCAAAAGAGAAATAAGAAGTTTGGATTATTGCTGTAGTGTGTATAGTCAATAGTATTGTTTTACCTAATTAAACAGATCCCAATGATGAAGGAGCAGTTGTTCATTTTCTCTTCTAGTATGAGAGCTAGGGAACATCGAATGGAATTTGTGAGAAGTTTGTTCAAAACTAACATTAAAAAGTAGCTCTTAACACAATGTACAGTTAAACTGCGGAACTGCTGGCCACAGGACGTTAGAGGGTAAAAGCTTTTTACATGTGTCCAAAAAGCATTTAGACAGATTAATGAAGAAAAATGTATTGAAGGCTATTAAATAACGTAACACATCTGTCTGAGGAAATCCCTGAGCTGAAATTTGCAGGAAGCTGGGAGCATATTCTGGAGAAGAGATGATGTTACTCTCTGCTTCTGCTCTTCTGTAGGTAACTGTTATTAGCCTGTGTCCTAGACAGACTCCTGCGTTAAATGGAGATTGGGTCTGACCTCGTACTGCCATTCCTAAATGAAAATCCTCAAGTCATCTCCGTTTTTGGCTAGCCTAAATAAATGTAAATTACCAGTAAGCCTTGTCACCTCCGTGCACAGTCTTTTCAGGTCATTGAAGAAAATGTTAATGGTGTTTTTTATATTCCTACTAATCCTTTCTGCAGCCCTCAAGTTTTTTGTGCTCTTTCCTGCCTCCTCAAGCTTTCCAGTTTTCCTTTCAAAGTGTGGAAACAAGATGTAGAGGCAGTATTGTTTTCTAAGATAAAAATACCTGCCTTCCCCTTCCATTAGCCCTTTTTGCCATTGCTTTGTTCTGGGAGCATGTTATACTGGTTGTCCACTGCTGCTCTCCCTGCTACTTTGCAGGAATTGCCTCTTTTCCTGTTTCTAGACTCAAAACTTCTAGACTCAAAAGAGTTTGGCTTTATTAAAACAATCCATGTAACTCCAGCATAATGATCCTTTGTGACTGCTCCGTTCTGTATGTTCTCTCATTGCTTGCCACCCATTGCAGTTCATTATTTGCCACTGTGACAATCTTTGTCACCCATGGGTTTTATCAGGAGTTAAATGTTACCTCCCGACTGTTGATAGAAAATACTGAAAATTATTAGGTCTGGAACTAATTTTGCTAGACTCTTGCTTGAGCATGGCTATTCGATTCCTTATAATCAAATTTCCAATTCCTTTATAATTGTTTTTTGGGGGGAGGAAGGGAGAGTGAGCAGCTGGTTTTTTGTTGTTTTGGGTTTGTTTTTTTTTTTAAGAATTTGTGGTCCAATTTTAATCCATTTAGCATCTACGCTGTAGATAGAGTGCTCAGGCTTTTAGTGCAGTTTTGTGAGGTATCAAGGCTGCTCTTTACAAAAACTGAAGTATTTTACAGCTTTGTAGTTACTGTTGCCACCTTTTTTTGGTTTGTTAAGTTCTATAAAAAACAAAAATGATATAACCCCTATACCAACATTGACTAATACAAAGTGTCTTAAGTCTATAGTGATTTGATTCTGTATTTTTCTCCTGGCGTGAATCTCAATTTATATAGCCTTTAGCAGCATTACAAATACCCTTTTTAAAATAATGGTAGGCATTATCACTCTCCTAGGCTAGTAGACTTGCCTAGTGCTCTAAGATTTATTAAGCATTTAAATCTGCAGGCCAGAAGTGTCCTCAATCACCTCTTTTTAGTATCTTTGGCCATAGGTTTTTCATGCCTGCTAATTTTTAAAATGTTTATTTCTGTTAGATTTTCGTTCCATTTTGTCTTCATTAATATTAGACTAGAAAACAGTTCATCTTTGCAACGAGAGTATGTTGTCTTCTGTTTCTGCTGAAACCGAAAAATTTTGAAGACCCGTGCCTTTCACACATTGAAGGCAGCTGTACTATCATCTAGTGCATGATAAGATATCACAGTTAAGATTTCTTTTTTTGAAAAACTGGAATACTTTATTTCCATAGCTTTAGTCTAGTCAGGGTTCTTTGCTCCCTGAAAAATTCTCCTTAATCTTGTCATTTAGCCATACTGGCTTAGAAATCCTCCCTTCCCTTTGGACTCTGTAACTGCAGATTAAACAACCACCGTGTTAAGGAGTAATAATTTCTTACTGTTGCTTTTAAAATTCTTCTCTATTAGCTGCACCTTTTGATAGCTTAAGGAAGCTGAACTCAGGAAACTTTTATATATATGCGGGGAATGGGCTCAAATTAATATCCTGACCATGCTTAGGCAGGGGCTTTGGGCCACCTTAGCGCAGACCACAGTTTGTTCTCTCCAGGGGCTGCTTGAAGAAGTACAGATATTACATAAAGTTGTGTCTCCTCATGCACAGTTCCAGAGAGAAGTCTTTAGGGGACCAAGCAATTGTTTCCGTAAATGTAGTCCTATTGTACTTTTTGCCAAGCTTTTCAGTAAAAAGTTGAAACTGCTCTTGTAGTAGCATTTGTTCAGACTTCCGAGACTCCTTGATCTGTCACCACCCCACTCAATGCTTTCCTGAGCTGGAAACTACACTTCTGATCCAGAGAACAACAGCTGCTGTTGTCTGGACTCTGTGCCAGGCAAATCAGGAAAAATTATGGTAAAGAACAGGACTGTAAGCCACCTGAATAAATATGGTCTATTTGGGAAGAGTCAGTGTGGCTTTTGTAGGAGGAGGCCCTGCCTCACATAACTCCTGGACAGTTAAGTAGGCTGTCTGGATTCCATACTTGAGCTGCTTGTTCATCCAGAGGACCTGAGCCACGATGCTTAGTCTTGTGCTTGTGTTATCTTCTTAACCTGAGTTACATTCTTTGGTCATGTTCTGCCTGATCCCTAGACTCCCGCCCGTGGTAGTATCTGCTGATAGAAGTTGCTGTTGATTGTCATCACAGCTGCACAGATCTGTAAAGGGCTTCAGAAAGCAGCAGGAGTGCAATGGAGTAGCATAAGTCATTGCTGATATTGCTTTCTGCAGATCCTGTTTTTAGACTTGTTCAGCTGCTAGAACGTACCCTCTTGGACTTTGTTTGCTATAGGAACGCAGGCCTATTTTTTTTTCCTAACCTGCAGGCAGCAATAAATGAAGCGTCAGAAGTAAAGGTATATGTGAGCTGCTCAATGTATGTGCTCTGAGCTGTACAGATTGTTTCAAACTTAATTCTTCAGCACTGTAGCCATTTACTGTCTTGTACCTTCACATGTAATTCTCTTGATATACTTGGTTCTTCCCTCATATTTTGTCACTCTTTAGCTGGCTCTTCTTTCTTTGGGTCTGGAGTGAGCTTTTTTACCCTCTGTCACTTGTGAAACAAGATGAGTTTGGCTGTAGCAGAGATGAAAGTCTACTTGTCAAAGTCTCTGCCTGCCTATATCGTTCAAGTTGTGGTCGTTGCCCACAAATTCATCTCAAAACAGTCTTTCAGGTACTACCTAAGCAGGCTGTGGAAGAACAGAGTTCTCAGTTAAAAGACCTGAAGGGGCAAAAGCTGGGAACTGAACAGATCAGTTCTCTGGTTCTGATTTGTCCCTGGGTGGCAAAAAGGGTAAAAGGGGATACGTGTCCTTTCAACATTTTTGAGGGTTCATGAATTCCAAAAATAGCTTCTATCTGCTGAAGGTCGGGGTCCTCTTTCATTAAGCAAATCTGGGGGGTGTGAGCCTGGCTGTTGGCAGAAAATGCAGATCTTGCTTTCAGGGCCTTGCGAATATGGGACTGAATAGGTTACAGATTGAAAGAAGCAGGCAGGCTGAGGGGTGGGAGAGTTTGTGCTGCCACTGTCTGAGCCAATGCTGTTCTGGGGAGGTGTGAGGTATCTGTGCCTGGTGATCTCAACCAAAGGCATTGCAGCGAGACTGGGCAGAAGAACTATTTGCTCTGGGAAATGCTAAATGCAAAGATCAGCTGCTTTGAGCTACGGGACTTTTGAGTTCCTATGGACTTGGGACTGTTTGTCTCAAATACTGGTTTCTGAGGGAGGCTGCCAGATGTCCCAAGCTAAGCCATTATTACGTTAATCAATGTCAAACCAAGAGGTCACATGTGACGCAAACTGGGGGACCTAAACAGCAACACAGAGGAGAGGCAGGGGAAGAACAGGGTCAGAATTATTGCTTCTTCCTGCACAGGTGTCATAAGTATGCTGTTATGCCCTTCTTATGCCCTAGATGTGGTGGCACAGCTGGAGCCATTCTGACCTGCCCCCTGGAAGTGGTGAAGACGCGTCTACAGTCATCCCAATTGACACTGCGGCCTCTGTGCCTCCCTGAAATACAGCTGCCGGGGATGAGTGTGAGGCTGATACACCCAGCCCCACCATCCCCTGGAGTGCTCAAGTTGCTGAGGTGAGTAGAATGGGGCAGTGTGCGTGTCAGTGTCAGGGAAGTGAAATTTTGGCCATCAGATGGAGAGAGAAATCGAAGCAGGGTTTGGGTTGAGGCGCTGGGATCTGCAGTTGTGGTGAGACGTTTCATATGAGCACAGATACTACTCATCACAGTTGATCTGTGCTTTGAACTGAGCCTGCAAGGCAGCTACTGGGACTGGGAGAAATTTCACAGGTAGTAGTTTCAACACACCCAGAATGATGCTGTCAGCAAGAAAAGGAAGAAATGACTAAAGGAGAGAGGAGGAGTGACTGGAAAGTAAATGAGAGTAGGGTGGAAAAAGGATAGCATTGGAGGTGGGGAGAGGAGGCTGTAGGAAGTACTGAAGGAAAAGGAAGGAAGAACAGGAGAGCTTCCAGCTTAGGTCTTCTGCTGATTTCTGTGTTCGTATCCTTCCGTAGGGCCATCCTTGAGAAGGAAGGCATGCGATCCCTGTTCCGAGGCCTGGGCCCAAACCTTGTTGGGGTTGCTCCTTCCCGGTAAGTACCTCTCCCTGAGGACAGCCCATGCTGTACACTTTCTGAAGTACCTCCATAAGAGCTGTTGCTCCACCTTTGGAAAGCAGCCAGGGTCCTGAGCCCATTGTGCCACAGGAGCCTTTTATGCAGGCACTTTTTAGACCTTCTGATCACAGCTGAAGGGAAAGATAACTGCTGCAGGCCAGGTATGGGGGATGTCTGCGGTCACATTAGAAAAACCCATGCTGAGAGTAAGCAAAGTTGGAGTGAGGCCCCACAGCACTGCTGTTCTTGCTCTTCCTAGTGAGCTGTAACTTCTCTGTATTTCTTTCCAAACAGGGCTATCTATTTTGCTGCCTATTCTGGTGTTAAGGAGAGGCTCAATGCTGTTCTTGTACCAGAGTCCAAGAAAGTACACATGCTATCAGCAGCCTGTGCAGGTGAGCCTCTTTTGTCCCAACTCAGAGCCGAGGGGTCTTTCTGGCTGTGATTGTGAAAGAGATTTCACCCCCTCCCCATTGTTGTTTCCTTTAGTCCTGCTCCCTCTTCTGAAGCTTGCTCCCTCCCCATCTGCAGCAGCGAGTTTATTGGGTAAACAAACATTTTCTCCCTCTTCATTCTTCTTAGGCTCATCACCTGAAGTCATGGCTCTAGTCTTTAGCCCTTCAGCTGCTCTCAGGAAAAGAGCTCCATTCAGGTGGGGGCAGAGGGAAGGCGATGTATCATTTAGATCCCTCACAGAATCGAGTCTCTTGATATTTCACAGTTCTCTACAAAATCATCCACCCTCACAAGTTTAGCCCATTGTTTCCTGCCTCTTTGTCACACCTGGGCCTATAGTAGGGTTATGAGTGGGAGGCAGAGGAGCTTAGGAACTACCAGATGAGTGGGAGTCCGCCCTAAATGTCTCCTCTCTCAGGGAACTCAAGGTCATTCTCAAATTGCAAACCCCTGCAGCTTGCCAAGCAGCATTTGGAGAGCTGATAGATCAGGAACTCTCCACAAAATGTCAGCTTGATCCTGGTATTCACTGCTGTCTTTCCCTTCTGTTCTCCAGGGGTTACCTGTGCCACGCTCACTAACCCTATCTGGTTGGTGAAAACCAGGATGCAACTGGAAGCCAGGTAAGGCTAGCAATAGAGAGCCACTCTGTGTCAAATTGAGGCTGGTTTGGGGATGGATCTTTGACCTGCTGGTAGAACATATGCCTTCAGGGCATGCTGAGGAAGAGTCATATAGTTGTGTTCACAATAGCGGTTTAGGTCAGTGAAGCAATATGCAATTCTAACCCTCTCCCCTCTCTTCCCCTTTACAGGGTGAAGGGGGAGCTGGGCAGTAATGCCCTCCAATGCGCTATGCGTGTGTACCGCACTGAAGGCCTGCGTGGGTTTTACCGTGGAATCAGTGCCTCCTATGCTGGAGTGTCAGAGACCATCATACACTTTGTCATATATGAAGCACTAAAGCAGCAGCTGAGGAACAGCTGTCATTCCCTGTCCCCACCACTCGGACTTCCATCAAACAGCCATGATTTCTTTGGACTAATGGGAGCTGCTGCTGTCTCCAAAACATGTGCCTCATGCATTGCATACCCACATGGTGAGTGGGCCCACTCTCCATCCTTCTGTTTCCCCTGGTGTATGATACCTTGCCTGTAGGATCAATCTGCTAATATCCCTTCCCCTTTTGTCTCTCCAGAGGTCATTCGGACACGGTTGCGAGAAGAAGGGTCCCGGTACTGTTCCTTTATACAGACTCTGCAACTTGTGGTCCATGAAGAGGGACCCCTAGCTTTATATCGAGGGCTTCTGGCCCATTTGATCCGTCAGATCCCCAACACAGCTATCATGATGGCTACTTATGAACTCATTGTACGTTTAGCCTCCTCCACCTTGTAAGCTCACTGTAGCACCAGGCTGAGGCTACTGGACCTCAGGGGCCTCAGGCTCCTGGGATGTGGTCCTATTCCATGTTCTGAGAGGTGCTGCTTTCCAATGCATAGCGGGACTGGGTGGTCTCTGCAACATCAGACATAGCATTCTCAGGAATTTATTTTGTGTGAAACTTTCAGCTCCAGCATGTACAACGTAGCCCTTCTCTTTGGAGACTTGAACTCCTCTGGTGCTTCAAGATGTCAGTGCACTGGTTTGACAGTGCCTACTGTTAGCTGTCTCCACAAAGCAAGGGTGTGGAACTAAAGGAGGGGGAAAGGAGACAAAGAAGAAAGTAATGTAGGTATCTTAGCCCTACAATCTTCAATTCGTTTGGACCCAGGAACACCCACATGTGAGCACAGTTGGACTTGAAGATAGCGGCTAAGGCAGAGAGATGTCTGCAAGAGATGTGGTGAGATCTTTCATGCCCTCAGAGGGGCTCTTACACTTGCCTACTGAGCTATCCTCTTACTCCTAAAGAGGATTCTTCCACCTTCATTGCCAGCAAAAGTCTTATTGCAGAGTCTTCCTTTGGGCCTTAACACAACATAGCCAGTGGCCCTAGGAAATGTCAGGCAGCTCAGTAGTTACACAGCCTCTTCCTTTTGCTGGGTCTGAGGAATTGGACCAAGTAGATGAAGGGAAGAAACACAAGCTGCTGTGAAGCACTACCCTAATAGTTCACGCTACTGAGCTGGTAGCCTTGTGTTGCTTACATCTATTGTTTTTGCACCTCCTTCTTACCTGAACGACAGAAAGAGGAGGACGACTACTTCCCTCAGAAGTGCAGGGGCCGTTACGCTCCAAGTTAGAATCCCTGATGTCAAATATACTTTTATGCTGGTAAAGGAAGTGGATCTGGAGAAAAGGTGGACGAAGCGAGGATTTGGTCTGTTTCTACTGATGACACGCTAGGTGTATGGAAAGAGCCTTATTTTTTCTGTAATCAAATATACTTTGCTACATGTGTTACGCTTGTCTGCCACAGGCTGGGATGCCTGCTGTTCCTCTGTGGGTTCCTAGACCCCATGTACTGGGGAGGCTAGGTTTTCTTTACAAAGAAAACCTTTATTTTGACTCTCCAAAAGGACAGGGGGTTGTATTTTTCTTGTTCCAGTACACATGCATGTGTACACACAGACAAACATAATCTTTCACAGAGATATATTTAAGTAAGGATAATCTCCTACACTGGCTGTTTCTTTCCCTGCTTATAGTGAAAAACCACAGAAGCTCTGAACATTTTATTTTAAATCCATTTATTTTAAAATCAACTTCATTTCCTCATCCTTCTTTCCTTCATTCATTTAGTTTAGGAGTATCGACAACTTTACAAAGCGACACAAGCTGCAGTGTTTTGTTTTTGCATGAAACGAGAATAAACCTCAAACGACAACATTGAAAAAATATACAATATATATATATAATATCTGGGGAGTGGTTGTGAGAGACCCCACTCTGAGCCCTACGGCTGGCTCCTCTGCCACTTTTCTGTTCTTTTCACGCCCCTCCTTCCTCATCGTCATTTGAACTGTGCCGCTGTCAGGGGCAAGTGCTCTAATATGTGTTTCTAGAGAGCCAATTGGGGGGGTCAGTAATGTGGGGAATGTCCACAATGAGAATGACAGAAGAGGAAGGAACATGGAAGGCGGAAATGAGGGAGGAGGAACATGTGTACGAGGCAGGGGAAGGAGGAGATTAAAATAAGACACCCCCTCCTTCCAGCCATATGGCGTGAGGATCCATTGGACTGATGTTTTAAGGCTCCTAGTAGTGGTGAGAGCCATCTCTTTTGCCCATGATGTGTCGGTCATCCACATGGTTGCTGTCTGGGGAGTCGGGTGTCTCCGAATCACTGCTGTCATCATCATCTTCCATGCCCTCACTAGCTCTGCCCTCGCTGCTTTCTGCTGCCCTCTCCTGGCAGCTCTGGTAGGACTAGGGAGATGAGACATTAGGTGAGAGGAAAGATCTAGCAACCCAGCTGCCCCCCAGCCCAACATGCTGTGACTGCTTCTCACCTCCATGGGATTGACTATGATGGTGAGGGCTGAGTCATCCCAGAACATGTCACTGTCTTTGCTGCTGGTGCCTGTGTGCCCCCCTGCAGCAACCCCAGGGACCTCTTGCCCTGCTTCCCGGCGGTGAAGTGAGTGGATGCGCAGGATGCCAAGGATCACCATGAGTGCCAGGAAGCCCACACACACCACAATGATGATAGTGGCTGCACTGGGGACCACTGTGGAGAGAGAAAAGGAGGAAGAGTGGTCAGAGTCTGTCACATAAACATATATTTCCAACTTGACCCACACCTAACCCATAGAAACCAGGGATGCTGGGCAGAGCTTGGGTTCTTGGTTTAGGCAGGAACATGTCCTGACTCATGCTCCCTTGGGCACAGGCAATTCTTGCCTTCTGCTGCTGCAACCTTGCTCAATGCCTGCATGGTTTCCCAGGATGCCCAGGTCCTCTAACATTGGGTCCTGCCTGTAGGATCTGCATGTTTTCATTTGCTAGGGTGACCAGAATTTGTCACATACTAGTCATTTGTATCCTACCCTTGGGAGGTATAAACATAAAGGTGTGATTTCTAAATAAGCAGTAGAGAAGAAAGGAAGCCCAAAGAAGCGTGCTTTGCACATGGGGCAGAGGTGAGGGTTGTGATGGTCTTCTAATTCAGCGCATCCACTTATTTAAGAATCTTTGCCCAACCCTCTAGGTTTCTAGGTTGAGGCTTGATTCCCCAAATAATAATCTTTCCTGGACAACCTATCTAGGCTCTCCTTGGATTAGTCTTGGTTGGTTCTGTACAGCAAGAGACAACTTTTCCTAGCTGCTTCTGCTGCATTCAGGCAGAGCTGAGGAAGGGAGTGGCAAAGGCAGATGTTTTGTGCTCTGCCAGCACATAGGCTATCCCTGCAGCAGTGCACTTTCAGCTGCAGACTGGACCAGCTTTGAATCAGTTGCTGCAAGAAGCTAGAACCAAAGGCAAAAAAAAAAAAAAAAAAAATCCATGCTCCCTACAGCAGAGGGCAAAAATTACATAGGGTCCTCTATTAACAGACCTTGAGCGTTCACAGCCTAGGAGGAACCAATTAGGCTGCTTTCATGCTTGTGGCACAGAGCTGCTATGACAAACCAACAAATCTAATCTCTGGTCTGGGATTCAGTCTTCATTTCACTCTCTGTTCTGGGGACAAGAATCCTCCTCCTCTTAGCCTCTCGTCTGCAGGGTGCTATCTCCTATATTTTTCTGCCTTACTGATCACCATCTACTTCTGTCTCCTCTTAGAGCAGTGCCAGCCTTGATTCTCTTCACTTCTGTCTGAAATCATGCTACCCAGCCCTGCATAGCACATTAGCAAGATGCACGAATGGAATAGTACCAGCTCATGGCTGCCCTTTTTAGACCTTTTCAGGTGTAGGTTTCGGACAACTTCTACGCACATCAGAGAAGCAACACAGCAAAGGGGAATAATTGTCACACCAAGCTCTAAAACTCAAGTGGTCTGGTCTGTAGTCCATTTGCTCATGAAGAGTGGGACAGGACAGTATAATTAAAACTCAGTAAGATGGGTGTAGGGAGCCTGAAAGGAGTCCTCTGCTATAGATTCTACCAGGATATCAGAAAATGAGCATTCTGATCCAAGGGAATAAAATCAAAAGATAGGGTTACATACTAGAGTCGCTATGGGTGCTTGCCAAACTGTGCCCAGATAGCTCTGGGGGTAAATGATGGCCTCGGTGCATGAACAGCTGGGAACTCAGAATATGGTTAGGATGAGCAGCTTGGTTCATGTTGTGGAGGACATTCACCTGCAGAAAGACCAGAGTGAGGGAGAGACTTAGCCCTGTGTTCATTGTGATCCTGCCAACATTGCTGTGCATTCCTGTGCACCACTTCCTCCCCATGCCTGCACAAGCAACTGTATGTGCAGGTATTGATCTTGTACCTCAACAGTAAATTCATTGCTGGAGTAGCGTCCGTTCATCTCAGTGCAGGACAGGTGAAATTTCCTTTCATAAAGGGCAGCACCGTGGCTGATGTGGTACGAGACCTGGCGTAGTATCTCCTCATATACTGCAATGCTCTCCACCCCTGAGACCAAGAAGAGAGAACTGCTGTGGGATGAGGAATTTCCTGCTTCAATGTCATCTAGCATCATAGTCCTGTAGAGCCTAAGAGCTACGGAGAAATCTCAGGCAGTGCTGGGTTCATGAAAGGGAGCAGTTTTGGAGCTGGCTGCAAAGGATCTGCTGAAATCCTTGCTTGCATTGCTAAAACACATCAAAGGGAAGGAAATATCTAGAGCAACAGTCCTGTTACGTTCTGGAGAGGGTGCAAGCATTGCACCAGTGCTACTGGCATATGAGAACACCAAACCCCAAGGGCAAGGGGAAAAAGTCAGGAGAAGTGATGCAAGGCTGAGTTAGAGCTCAGACACTGTGCTCTAGCACCGTGTGCCGGAGGAGGAGCCAGCTCTGGTCTGGAATTTCGAAAGTCAATACTTCAGAAAACAGCTACCTCTCAGAGCCTTGCGAAGCACATCACAGCATCTCTAACACTGGGTTAAGTGCTTCTCCCAGTGATGCATTACAGGCAGTGAAAGAGGCATAAAAAGACAACTGTGGCCAAGGAGAAGACATACCTGTGATGGTCAGGTAGGCAGAGGTGTTAACAAGCTCGAGGCCCCGCTGCTGCAGGGATGCCCCATCCAGCAGCAGATACTCCCTCTCCGGGTCCAAGTCATCTCCTACCAGTGAGATCTCACAGCCATCCAGGTTGTGCACAATCTCATCTGACATTCGTGTGTCTGTCACTGACAGGCAGAGAAAAAAGACGGGGCCAGAAAGCCAGACAGACATGAATCAAGGCAGGAGTTACTCATAATGGTACCCACTTACTTAGAAGTGCCTGCATCATAAATAATGACTTCTCTTTCTCTGCTTGAACTGATCTTGAGTAAAATCACTGTTAGTCTAATTATTTGTTAAAGGAGTCCCTCTGTTTCTAATGATATTATTTATGCACATAATAAAGTCACTCTACTTTGGAGCAACATACCATTACGGGACTGGTTTGTGATAATGCATGTTGATGTTGGCTATAAGGACTCTATTGATGATGGCAATGTGCAAATTAGCAACAACTGTATCACACATTCCCAGACACTGAATGCCTTTGAAAGCTTTCCCCTATCTCACAACTGCTGGTAACTATGTTAGAGATCCTATCTCACTTAAAATGGCGACCACTTTCAATGACTAGTTGCTTTCAGCAGGGCTAAGACCAGCCTGCCCTCAGTCAAGATACTCATCATTGTATAAGCAAAAGCAAAGCTGGCCCCAGGAAAGAGATCTACTAACAACTAATTGAAGCAAACAGGGAAGCACATCCAGAGCATCTTCAGGAAAGGTAACCAGATCTCTAGCTGTTAAACAGAAAACTATGAGCAAAGAATCTGATTAGCAGAAGAGAGACAGAAGAGGTGAAAGGACATATGGAGCATAGAGTGCAGAGAAGGAATTTTAAGGCAATGGAGGGAAATTGAGATAGTATAGGGTGTGTGGAAACAAACTGGAGAATTTATAGAAATAAGTGGTGCAGGAAGAATCGGGGGGGCAAAGAAATATGGGAAGCAGGAGAGACAGAAGTAGGAGGAGACTGAGGAAGTGCAGGAGTGGAAAGGAGAAGAGGAATAATATCCAGTGTTAGATGCAGTAAGGGGAAATGTAGGTAAAATGTGAAAGGGATTAGGAAGCAGCAGCCTTGGAAGGAAGGAGGAAGGAGTGAGGCAAGGAACTTGGAGGACGGAAAAAGTACCGGGAGGAGCAGAAAGGGATAAGAACCGATTACCCTACATATTTAGAGACAATGTGCTTTGCCTCTATATTTGTAAGCTCTCTCCTGTTTCAGGCATCATGAGGGGCTCTACTTCCTGTGCCGAACAGCATCACTTGCACATCTTTCTGGTTTGTCTTATACCTCTCCCTGTACTCCACTCACCAGTACCATGCCAACTCTCATCCTTCTTGGCCTCCACCTGGTGAGAAATAGAGCAGGTGATCTGGAGGTTGGGGAACAGGGGAACCCCATCAGGTGTCTCGAAGTCTGATGCAGGGCGAGCAAAGTGGGCATTTCCACTTAACAGGATCTGGGGGGCATCAGGCTGTAGCACCACAACATAGCCTTCCACATCAGGAATGGAGACACAGGACTCTTCACTGAAACATCTGAAGGAGAGAAGGAGAATGCACCACTTGGCCCTAGACT